GAAGTTTCTGAGGAAGTAAGTGTTGGGTGGGACCTGGGAATTTGCGTTCCTAAGCCTAACATTTAAGGCATTTCCCCCATTTCCAATGTTACTAGTAAATGAGAGGGTGCCAAAAGCCTGTCTCTCCTGCAGAATTCTGAAGGACGTAGAACACACAAAGAACTCAATCAAATCAGGCAAAATACCATCTTTTTACCAGAAGGATAAGACTTTCTAATAAAGATGGAGTAGAGACCAGAGCAGGGACCAGAGCCCAAAGTGAGTGTCTAATCCTTCCACTGGAATGGAAGGGAGCTATTCTCTATCCTAGGCCACCTGACAACCAGAGAGTGACAGCTGCAGGAGAGAAGACCAGGCAGAGCTGCCAGGAGACCTCACTGGTGCGTGCAAAGTAGAAAGAGAAAGCAAACGTGAAGGTCACATCTGGTCACCACAGGGCAAAGGGAAAAGAGAACAATCTGTTTCCTGTTTTTGAAAAGTTGAAACAATAGAAGGAAGGGGTCTGGTGGGTGTCATGTTCTCTAACATCCTGGAATTCATCAGTCATCTGCGTTCCTGAAAAGGAGACTATTTATTCAGCAGCTCCAAAGTTGCTTCCTCCTGGGTGTAGAGGGATAAATAGTTTCTCTTTCCAAACCAGAGGGAGGAGAATGGGCTCAGTATAGAAATGCCCAGTGCTGCCTTTGATATCCTCTCCTGTAACTCAAAATCTGCAGGAAAGTTGCTAAAGCCTATACAATGCTGATCACTGTTATGATGGTGGAAACCAGGCAGAAAACTGAACTTCAATTGAATGAACTTCAAGTGCATTAAATGGGGTAAGACAAGGGACAGTGGCCCATGCAGGAGAAAGTAGGGGAAGCATGAGGAAGTGAATGCAGAAAGCCCCCTGCAGGAGGGAGTTTGGACTCTGTGTGCTGTGGAAATGCAGCTTGAGCCAAGTTTGCCAGTCTCCAAGGGCAAGGGTGATGTGCAGCTGCCAAACGGGTAAAAAATATTTAATGAGTGCTTCACGCACTCCAGGACATTGGAAACCAATGGCGAACAAGGAAGTGTTCTTCATCAGCCATAATTGTAGAAGACAGACAGCAAGTAGTTAAAATATAAGATCAAAGCTATTTTGTCCTGGGTATTCCCAGCCTCAATGAGTGTGTCTTGAATGGGCTAGGAAACATTTTCCACAAAAAGGTCAGATTGATGATGAACACTTCCATATGAATACTTCAGCTGTCCCAAATCATTTGTTGTTTCTGAATCACAGAGGAGCCTCGAATGATATTTCTCATCACCTGTTACACTGTATGATCCAAGTGAGAGTCAACCATAGTGAGACATTCACATGAGATTTGGATGGTGGACAAGGAAGAAGGACCTTTCTCTGACAGCAACAGCAGAGAGACAATGAACAGACCTAGCTGCATGTCATGGCAAATGAGCGCCTGGAAACCGCCCAGGTCTGTGCCCCAGTGAGCTTTCAAGACCTCTGCCTTCCCAACCCTCCAGAGGTGGGTCAGTCTCTAATTTCCTTGATTGAAAATATATCCTACCTTTTTTTTTTTCACAAAGTGATTTATTAGGCAGAGAGAAGAGAGGGAGAGAGAGAGAGAGAGAGAGAGAGAGAGAGAGAGAGAGAGAGAGAGAGAGAGGAAAGAAAGAAAGAAAGAAAGAAAGAAAGAAAGAAAGAAAGAAAGAAAGAAAGAAAGAAAGAAAGAAGAAAGAAAGAAAGAAAGAAAGAGCTCCCACACTGCCCTGGGAATATCCTACTTTTAATACCTACTACTTGGTGTAAGTGGAGGAAGATGAAATGCTTCATGCTGGGTTCAAAAAATGGAACAGAGCATGGTCTAATAATCCTGGGTCATGAAACATGAAAATGAGACTGCTTATATAACAAGGGATTTGTGTCAAATACATGGCTAGAATTCTTACTTGACAAATGTGGATGATTTTAAAACATCTATACCATGAATTCATATTTCAGCCTGAATTTACAACACCTTTCATAAATTTGGAAATATTTTAACTCTTAACCTTTCACAATGTGGTTGTGTCATTGAAGCTGTGCTCACAATCCATCTCTGCAGAGCCCTGACAGTGAGGCAACCAGAAAAGACCCATGCAGGGGAATCCCTTTTGCCCTGTCCTCTCAGTGGCTGGGGACAGTAGCTACCAGCTGAGTTGATAGTGAACTCAAAGTGTTTTATTCAGAATGGTGCCTCAGTGGTAGGTCTTTCATGTTGTGTAAACATTTAAATACCTAGTCTTTTCCCCAATTTTCCCACAAAAGCTTTCATAACTGAAATAATATTTTCTCTTACCACCTCTCCAAATAAAAATGTGGATAAACATAAACAGAAATTTTATAGCTTTACAGACTTATGTGAGTAAAAAAGAGAGTTATAAAATCAGATATCTGAACTATCTATCTTAAGAAGAGGAAAAGCAGAACAATGATACTACTGTAATCTAGAACCTTACTTATTTAATTGGAAAACATTGGAGGCATCGCCAAGAATAAGGCAAGCAGGTCTGTCATCTCCACTACTGCTCAACATTATAATGGAGGTATTAGCCAATGCAATCAAACAAGAGAAATCAATTAGGTACAAAGATTAATTAAGAAGAAGTGACAGACAAACTGTGGAATAGCCATATGAAAAAATACTTCTCAGTCAAAAAAAGAAAAAGAAAGAAAGAAAGAAAGAACAGGCAACTCAGATGACTCCCAAAAGCATTGTGCTGAGATGAATGAACCCAATCTCAAAAGGGACTTCTTTTGCTCATCTCTAGATTCTCAGTGTCTGCTCTAGAACCAACCATGAGATACAAGAAATCAATGAGTGTTAATGAGTGCATGAGTAGGTATGAACTCGAAAAACTATTGAGAGAAGGGAGCATGCCTCACTCTCTTCTTGTACTAATCACAATGCCTAGTATTTGCCAAACCTTCTGTCTGCCTTCTCTCCTGGGAGGCAAACAGGCAACACTCTTCTTAGGGTTTTTCACATGGGCTTCTCACCTGCTCACTGCTTCTTAAGTCAGAGTCTTTTTCTTTGCCTCATCTGCAGCAGTAACCTGAATGCAAGGGTAAGAATAATAGAGTGTGTGTTACACTGAAAATAACCACTGCTGTTAAAGACTTTTTCCTATTAAACCTGAATTTTCTTTTCTTGGGGGGAATGTGTGGCTTTTTGTTTAAATATTTGCTTACAGATGGTTGTAATACAATAGGATATTAAATTCCTGTCTCAGAATTTTGGCTAAAATGTCAATGGCAAAAACAATAGACACAACATTCCATGCTCATGGTTAGGAAGAATCAATATCGTGAAAATGGCCATACTGCCCAAAGTAATTTACACATTCAACGCTATCCACATCAAGCTACCAATGACCTTCTTCACAAAACTGGATAAAACCACCTTAAACAATGAAACAGAACAGAGGCCTCGGAGGCAACACAACATGTCTACAACCATCTGATCTTTGAAAAGCCTGACAAAAACAAGCAATGGGGAAAGGATTCCCTATTTAATAAATGGTGTTGAGAAAACTGGCTAGCCATGTGCAGAAAGCAGAAACTGGACCCCTTCCTGACACTTTTACACTGTTGGTGGGAGTGTAAATTAGTTCAACCATTGTGGAAGACAGTGTGGCGCTTCCTCAAGGACCTAGAAATAGAAATTCCATTTGACCCAGCAATCCCATTACTGGTTATCTATCCAAAGGATTATAAATCATTCTACTATAAGGACACATGCACACGAATGTTCATTGCAGCACTGTTTACAATAGCAAAGACCTGGAACCAACCCAAATGCCCAACGATGATAGACTGGACAGGGAAAATGTGGCACATATACACCATGGAATACTATGCAGCCATAAAAAATGATGAGTTCATGTCCTTTGCAGGGACATGGATGAACCTGGAAACCATCATTCTCAGCAAACTGACATAGGAGCAGAAAATCAAACACTGCATGTTCTCACTCATAGGTGGGTGTTGAACAATGAGAACACATGTACACAGGGAGGGGAGCACTACATGCTGGGGTCTGTTGGGGGTAAATAGGGGAGGGACAGTGAGGGGGTGGGGAGTTAGGGAGAGATAGCATGGGGAGAAATGCCAGATATAGGTGATGGGGAGGAAGGCAGCAAATCACACTGCCACGTCTGTACCTATGCAACAATCTTGCATGTTCTTCACATGTACCCCAAAACCTAAGATGCAATAAAGACAAAACAAAACAAAAAAAAAGAAATGCCAAAGTATATTCAACAAAAATAAAAATTGTCCCCAGAAAAAAAAATAGACACAAGTACACCCACTTTTTGTGAGGTTAGAGACAGAAGCTGTCTTACTCTGAGTAATTATTTCTACAGAAATCACACATTTCATTGTGTAGTGCTTCTCTCATCTTTGAGCCTTCGCTAACTTTTGTTAAATGCATAGTCTAAGCTTATTTGTGCTTTTGGGAAATAAGGAAGAAATGTGTATACTATTTTGGGCAAAATGATTTAGGGCATGGAGAAGCCAATTTCAAGATGACAGAATATGGAAAGTTGGCATAAGTCACATGTGACCACTAGGACATATTAGTAAACCAGGAAAACATGCTTTCAGGATTTCTAGAAATCATTAAGTGTGGAAAACCCAGTAGAAAAGGGAGAGGAACTTCAACCATTGCTATCTCTATATTAAAGGGAATTTTTGCACCAACAAAACTACACAGATCTCAGAAACTTTGATTACACATAATGTCCATTGGCACATAATGAAGATCCAAGGAAGTTGTGGTCTTTGGCTGATGAATGGGTTGAAACTGTGGCTCAAGTCTTCTAGCGAAAGGGGGAGCAGGGGAAACAGCATGAAAGTAGACCAAGTCTAGCTCCAAAATTATCTTGAACTTTTACCAAAAAGCGAAATTAATTCCTATATTATTAGAAGTGGCAGTAGTATTTTCCAAGACAAAACAGGTTGTAATTCTGCACAAATATGAGATAACTGAAAAGTTTCATTATAGACACAATAAGCAAAAAATTCAATGCAGTGGGGGCAGAAGTGTGTGTATGACCTGCCAAACAACAAGTATTCAAGATGTGGAGTGAAGGAGGTGGGGTCGCAACTATCTGTTATTTCTCAAGAAAAGGAGAGAACTGGGTATTTATCAAACTGGTTAAACTGAGGTTGGTCAAAGAGTGTCTACAGATATACCTGAATATACCAATCATTGCTCTCTTATTTGTTGAATTGCTGTCTTTCACCCTTTCAGGATTTGGGGATCACTATATAGTTGAATTTGTAGAGATCTATTTTCCAGACAAGTTTCTGTTCTTTAATGAGCAAATGATAAAAAACAATTTTACTCTTTACATAACAATGGAATTAAATAGATACTCATCTAGAAATAATTCTACCATTATCTCCATCTCTAAAATTACCTACTGCAAACAAAGAATTGATCTTTCTAACAAACCATATGAGTAAGATGATCACTGTGACTCTGAATACAAAGATAAATGAGTAGAAGCTACAGGCGGAGACTATCTGCTAATACAGAAAGAATCTAGAAAAAAAGGTTTTATTAGAGGTAACATGATATAGCTTGGAATCATCTTCTTTGGTCTCTTGCATACATTTTCTCTGCGTGTCTAAGGAAGAATTCACAAGGTAGCAAGCACCAATACCTTCTGCTTTGGAGTTTCACAAATTAAAAATTTGTCCTTGTTAATCAAACATCTACAATGGACAACGGTGGTCCTTATTTATGAGCACCTGAGAGACACAAACTAGAGCACTCCAACTTTGCGAAATGAGTAAGTATGGGGCAAGGTTGCCAGAGAATATGTAGAAAATACAAACAGGTTTTCATTAAGTTTAATCTTCCATGAATACACGTGAGAAAATTGAGAAAGCAATCTTTAACACATTAATGATTAATTCGAGCATCCCATTCTGGTTCTCCACTTCCGTTCTCGCCTCTTGCTGCCTTGCGACATAGCGAGCCTCCTGTTCTGCTAGTTCCTTCACCATTTGGGCCCTTCTCCTTTCCTGCTCCATTTCATCCTTCAGCTTGCTGATTTTCTCTTCATACTCCTCTCTTATCCGTGCTTTCTCTCTCTCCATCTCCACTCTGTAGAGTTCTTGCATCGCTTGGATTTGCTTCTGGATCTCCTCTTCGGCCATTTGGTACATCCTGTTAGTGTAGCAGCCTCCCTTGTTCTCCCTCACCACGAGCTGGACCAGGGCCAGCAGCTGCGCTCTCTGGGCCTCCTGCTCAGCGCCTGTTGCCCTGTTGTTGAACGCGCAGTAGCGGTCACCAAAAATGTTCATCAAGTCTTGAATGCCTTCTGGAGCTTCCGTTAAGTAGTCATGCAAATTGGTGCCATCTAAGTCATCTTTCCGGGTGAATAGGAGAATCATGAATCTTCTAGCCCTCTCTCCAAACATTTTCAGGATCTTCTCTGTGGCCTGCTGCTCTTCCTTGGTGTAACGGCCTAGTGGGACCACCAGAAGCAGAGCGTGAGGCCCTGGAGAGGTCAGGAGGATGCAGCGACCGATCTCTTTGCACGTGTCAGCATTCTGCACCTCAGTGTCGAAAATGCCTGGCGTGTCAACCACGACAAGTTCTGTTTCATTCCATGTGCCGCTGCGTTTCTCACAATTCTTGGTAATGGATTTTGCTGCAATGCCAGAATGAAACACTTTCTCTCCAAGGATGCTGTTTCCTGTTGCACTTTTTCCTGCTCCAGTTTTACCCACTAACACAATTCTCAGTTGGGAATGTCTGGGCTCTTGGCTTCCAGGCCCTGGGATATCAAGAGAAAAAAGCCACACCGTTAGAATCTACCTCTAATAGTTTCCCCTGCAGGGTCCTCATCCTCTGTGCCCTTTTCTGTTACTGGCTATGGGCTTCTCCTGATGTTACTCCTGCACTCACAGAGAGTCCTGTGGGCCTGATGCTCATCTTGCAGTACTTGGGCAACTGGCCCTTCCCTTAATCTCCTGTCTTCAGTCCTGCTTCTCAGGATTCCCCTGAGCTTTTTAGTCTGATCTTTTGTAGCTATATAGCCCACAGAGGAAGAAATAAAATGGTTTCAGAAGAGAACTGTGAGCTACCAATAATAGCTGTTTGTTTGTTTATTTGTTTGTTTTTTGAGACGGAGTTTCACTCTTGTTGCCTAGGCTAGAGTGCAGTGGAGTGATCTTGACTCACCGCAACCGCCGCTTCGCAGGTTCAAGCAATTCTCCTGCCTCAGCCTCCTGAGTAGCTGGGATTACAGGCATGCACCCCACACCAGGATAATTTTTGTATTTTTAGTAGAGACAAGGTTTCAGCATGTAGATCAGGCTGGTCTCGAACTCCTGACCTCAGGTGATTCACCTGCCTCAGCCTCCTAAAGGCCTGGGATTACAGGCGTAAGCCACCAGGCCTTGTTTCTAGTAAGGTAGTGCAGGGAGTAACCCAAGATTTGACTTTAGAGTATCTGTAAGGGAGATTTATTTTCCCAATTTATGTTCAAAATGAACCATTTCTTCTTCCCATTAAGAAGCCAGGCAAGTGGGTTATACACCCTATCATTATTCTTAAAGCAGAGCTTCCCACGTCTAATAACCACTATCCTAGGATGAAAGAAGCATAATTTCAAAAGTAATATGACTAAGAACACTGGATACAAGAAGGCTAAGATTATCTTTAAAAACAAAAACAAAAAATGTGGGCTGGCATTCCCATTTTTATTTAGTTACCGTCACAGTGGGAGGCTCTGTCCTAAGGATATCCTGAGGGCATTGGTTGACCACAGGGAAGGGAATAGGAGAATCATGGGAAGTAAATGACAAGGCACCAAAGGCCAGCTCCAACCCTGCGAATTTCTCGGTGTTGGCAGCGTGGGGAGGACAATCCATGGAGGAAATTGTAGATACAGCCACAAGCTGTTCCTATCCCTGCATGCCTCTTTAGGATGTCGATTTGCAGCTCCTCCCATCAAGATGCTGTCTTCCTTTTCAACCACTGAGTCTGGGTGGGTCTCATGACTTGCTCTGGACTGCAGGACAGTAGAAAGCCTGGTGCGAGCAGAGACTCCAAAAGTGCGTATGCATTGTGGCTTGCCTTTTCTTTCTGCTTTTCCGGCAACTGCCTTATGAGGAAGTGTGGAATAGCCTTCTTGATGATGACAGCAAGGCCCAGTTATCCCTATTACCCTGGCTGTCTGAGAGCCTGCTAACTACCAGACACGTCCATAAGGCTATCCAAGACCATTCGGCCACATACCAGGCACTAGCTCACCCCGAGCGCCTGAGATGAGCCGAGCTGGTCCAGACCCAAGAATGGCTCAGTGAACCCACAGAATTAAAAGCCAACTAAATGGCTGATGTCTTAAGCTACTAAACTTTGGAATAGTTTATTAAAGCAGCAAAAGCTCAATTGACATAGTGAATTTCTATAGATAAGGAAGAAAATGGAGGGTCATGTGATACACTGAGTGAACCAGCCAGTTTAGTTTGTTGGTTATGGTGAGACCACCAGGAGCTGGGAAGTTACGGACCAGGGAGAGGGATCAATTCCTCCCACATTCCTCTTTCCCGACCCTCCTCCAGGCTGAAGAAACGGGCAGAAAAATAGAGAGGATACAACCAGCTGTTCTGGTGTGCCCATGTTCCAGGAAGTAAGAGATAAGAAACTGTGTCGAGCCCTGGGTCAATCAAAGGATGTTCAATCTCTCTTCTGCTTAGCTGCTACAGCCACACCATGGGCAGAAAGTGCAGAGGGTCAAGAGAAATGAAAGAGCAGGTCAAATGAGGAGGAAATGAGAAAGGAGGTTGGAAATATTTTTCTCCTGCTCGAATGGGGAGTGGCTGGCAAGGCAGAAGAACCCCCACCCCCACCTGCTAACCTCCCTGCAGCCTGGCCTGGGGAGCCCCGAACACACTCTCACCATAACTGGCCCCTGGTGGCCTGAGGTTGAATTTCACACTGCTGGATTGGGCTGTCATTGTCACTTGAACTCCTGTAGATCAAGAACACAACCATGTCATTTCAGGAAAATGGAAGCAACTAGAATCCCTGACTGCCTATAGCCAACAACTTTATTTTTTGCCGTGAACTTGCTGCATTGATTTCTCCTGCTGCATTTCCCCAAAGCCTCCTTAACCCTCCATTGACAGTTTCATTTCCAGATTGTTCCTTTTTCTTTACACAACATAAATGTTTCCAGTGCTTCCTCAGCACTGGTCTGGCCCCTTCCCCCACCTAGAGATTTGTGGCTTGGATGCTTTTGTATGAGGTCTGTAGCCTATACCCTCCTCAGAGTTCTAAACTTTTATATTCACTCGGCTTCTCCATTTGGCTGTTTCAGGGGTATCTCCAACAGAATCTGGCTGAAATTAAGCCCTGACCTCCACCTCCTGTTCTGCCTCCCTGGCTCCCCCTCAGCAGATGGCATCACCATCTAGCCCGTGGCTCCTCCAGAACCCTGGGGTCATCTACAACTCTTTTATCCTCTCTGTCTCATTGGTCCATCACCAAATCCTATTGATTCTACTTCCAAAAAAACTCAAAATTGCCCATTTATCTCCATCTTTGTGCTGATACAACCCACTGTCATTTGTTTGCAATTTAACAGCTTTCTAATTGATCATGTCCCCTTCAATCCGTTTTCTGCTCTACAATCAGATGTTATTTTAAACCTAACATTTGATATTTTTTCTGGTTTAAATTTCCTAGTGGCTTCCTATTGGTTTCAAAAATAACTTAAGTCCTTGGAATGGTCCATAGGCCCTGCATGATCAGCTTCTCTCCTCTCTCCTAGGTGTGAGCCACACTGCCCTCAAAGTCCTGGAAATCTAGGCTCCTTCCACCTTCAAGGCCTTTGCAGAATCGTCCCCTCTCTCTGGAGCACTCACCCTCCAACCTAGTGCCCAGCTTGTTCCTGCTCAGCATGCAGGCCTCAGCTCTCCAGAGAGTCTCCCCAACACCACTGTCCACCAGCAACACCCTCTGGCATGGTCCACTTGGTATTTGCACCCCAAAGAGTTCTTACAGAATATGTATTACCCTCATTCTATTATAAAGACACATGCACACATGTTTATTGCAGCACTGTTCACAATAGCAAAGACTTGGAACCAACCCAAATGCCCATCAGTGATAGACTGGATAAAGGAAATGTGGCACATATACACCATGGGATACCATGTAGCCATAAAAAAGGATGAGTTCATGCCCTTTGCAGGGACATGGATGAAACTAGAAACCATCATTCTCAGCAAACTGACACAAGAACAGAAAAGCAAACACCATGTTCTCTCTCATAAGTGGGTGTTGAACAATGAGAACACATGGACACAGAGTGGGGACCATCACACACTGGGGCCAGGGTGGGTGGCTGGCTAGGGGAGGAATAGCAGGGGGTGGAGAGATTGGGGAGATTAGAAGAAATACTTAATGTAGATGATGGGGCGATGGATGCAGCAAACCACCACCATGGCACGTGTATACCTATGTGACAAACCTGCACGATCTGCACATGTACCCCAGAACTTAAAGTATAATAATAAAAAAAGATGTGTATTACTCTGGGAAGTTATTTGTTTGATTTTTTTACTGTGTCCTCTTAGATTACAATCTTTGTGACGGGAAGATCACATATATCTTGTATTTCTTATTATTCCCTGGAGCCAAAACAGTACTGGGCAAAGAATGGTTCTCAATCATTATTTGTTAAATAAATAAATGAATAATCTCCCTGCTTCTTGCCTCTGACTGGTCACTATGTTCAGTCCACATCTGATCTGTGAAAATGACAGTCCTTTCCTTTATTAATTAATATGTGGTATTATAGAAACATGGTATAAATGTTAAATGTTTTATTTCATTGCTACCTACAAACATTTTGCAATGGAGAAAGATATTTGAAGAACTCTTATTGGAGCAGACTGTGACCAGAACAGGCAGAAAATGGTAGTTGTTAAGGACAGAGTCACCTTGTAGGAAGCCAACGAACATGAAACACTGTGAAAAGCCAGATCTTTCTTTTGAAAGAATGATTATTTCTTTATCCTTCAAGAATAGGGTGTAGGAAATGGCTTCTTGTAAACAAAGAAGAGAAGTCATAAAATTTTTAAAAATCAGTGGCTGGTGTTAGGAGAGAGGATAGGACACCAGCAACAAGAAAACAACGCTGTGACACTGGGTTTTTGTGACATTCTTTGGGTGTTTCTTCACATCCTCATTCTAGTACATGGGCTCCTTAATGCTGCTCTGCTGTTCCTAACTCAGCGGCAAAGCCAGGAGACTGCTTTTGTAGGTGCTAACCTCAGGTGGCTGAGTTCTCCTCCCTCTGCCTAAAGAAAAAGTATTCATCAGAAGCCAGCTTCTCCTGAACTGCAGAGTCACACCCTCCTTCTACCCACGAAACGGGAGCTCAACTCCCAGTAAACCCAGGACGGTCCCGGAGGAGGCAGCTCCCTAACTGGCAGTTCTGAGTAGTCAGTTAACCCGGTAACAAGACCTCAGACCGCAGAGCCTCCAATCTTGACCTGGATGCAGTCTTTGTGGGGACGCATACAGACCTGTTCCCCTTACACATCCCAATGTTCTTCTCCCCACCAGCTCCTGCAGAACTAATTCTGTCCGCTCACCCAAATTTATCCCTAGAAGAATCAAAGTTCTGTATAAATTCCGAAACAAGTGAAAGGAAATCTTTATTTGTAAAACAAGTATTCTCTTGAAAGAGGCAATAATTTGTAGGACTCAGCCTTCAGAACAGAATACAACCTAAAATTAACAAAGACAGGAAACAGGAACCAATGAGAATATAGTCTGAAAACATGTTTACCAGACATTTTAAGATACAAGTCCTCTCTTCACCAAAATTGCAAATTTCTCCCAACCCCCATCACACATACCCCTATTCCTTTACCTGGAAAATCTGGGTCCTGCACGCCTCTCTGATTTTGTGCACAATACTAAGCCAGAATGTTAAGGAGGAGGAACAGAGAGGAAGTGAGGGGAGGAGCTGTCCAGATTTACTTGTGCAAGCGACCTGCCCACCTAATCATCCAGCAGCTCTAATAGAACTTTCTGCAGGGGTGGGATTGTTCTGCACTGTCCAGGATGGCTACCCTTAGCCACATGTGACTACTGAGCACTTGAAACGTGACAAATGTGACTGTAGTTCTGAATTTTAAGTTTTATTTTGTTTCGATTTATTTAAAGTTAAACGGCATTAAAGGGATGATAATGGACTGTGGTAATGCAGTGTTGAGGATAGGGATGCAGATGGACATCTCTGAAGAGCATGGAGCGTACAGATATGTGTACCTCATATTAACATTCAAGATAATTCAGAAAAGAATATTGATTAATATACCCCATTCTGTGCACGTCAGCCAGCCTCTTCTCCCGGCCACACCTGTCCTTGCTCAGTAGGCTCATCACACGGTGGTAGGGATGGGGTCTGTGCATAAATACAGTAATTCTGACTCTCAGTTTCTGAGGTCCAGCTGGCTTCAACCACTGCTAACTGACCAACCTGTTAAGAGCTAAGGCCAACGCTGAGCCTTTGACCCAACACCATATCCCAGGGAGATCAGTCAGCCACCTGGTGGCATGTCCCACTTCCATGATAGAAAGAGCAGAGCCAATGTATGATAGCAGAGTGGATCTTCCCACTATTAATCCTAATGAACCATGTGAAATTATGGCTTCCATTTCCCACAACTTTGGGTTCTATTGACCTCAGTTCCCAAGAAAAGAATGTTTCTCTCATGAATGCAATGTTTTAGTAACAATATAGGAATGTTCAGGTTATGTATTTCTTCTTAAATGAGCTTTGGTAGTTTCAAGAAACTTCATTATTTCATCAAATGTGTTGAATTTATTGGCCTAAAGTTTTCCATGATATTCCCTTATTATCGTCTTAATTTATAGAGACTCTGTAGTGATGTAATAATTGATACTTTATATTTCTCTATATTTTTTTCATCCACCTGGCTAGAAGTTTGCCAATTTTATTGAACTTTTTAACAAAACAGCTTTGGGTTTTATTCATTTTTTAACATATTTTTCTGTGTTCTGTTTCACTGATTTCCATGTTGATCTTTATTTCCTTTCTTGTGCTTACTTTGAGTTTAATATTTTCTTTTTTCTTATTTTTTAATGTGGAAATGGAGCTATTAATATAAAATTTTTCTTTTTTTTTCTATTACAACCATTTAGGGCTGTAAATCTCTATCTACTATTGCATTAGCTAAATCCCTACAAATTTTTATATGCTATATTTTTCACTCATTTAAAATGCTTTCTAATTTTCCTTTTAACATAGTTTTTGGCCCACAGATTATTCAGAAGATGTAACTAAGTTTCCAAATGTTTGGGGATTTTCCAGATATATTTGTTATTGATTCCTAATTTAATTTTATTCTTGTCTGGGATAGTCTTTGTATTATTTTGATGCTCCTACATTCATTGAGACTTTTTTTGTTGCCTGGAATATGTTCTATCTTAGCAAATATTTCATGTGCGTTTGAAAATCATGAATATTCTGCTATTGTCAAGTGGAATATTCTATCAATATCAATCAGATTCATTTGGTAGATAGGGTGATCAAGACTCCTACAAACTAATTTCCTGTCTACTTGTTTGAGAGAGGAGTGTCGAAATCTCTATTATTTTGGATTTGTTTATTTCTTCTTGCAGGTCTATCAAATTTTGCTACATGTATTTTGAACCTCTGTTATTAGAGGCCTAATAGTTAGTATTTTTATGTCCTTTTGTAACTCCTTTCTCATTGTGAAATTATGTTCTTTATTGTTAGAAACGTTTGCTCTGAAATCTACTTTGGCAGTAATATAGTCACTTCAGCTGTCTTTTATTAATGTTAAGATGATGTATCTATTTCCATTCTTTTACTATTAACTTATTTGTGTTTTTATATCTAGAGTGGGTTTCTTTTAGGGAAGATACAGTTGGGGTCTTGCTTTTTCAATCCAATCTGACAAACTGCTTCTAATGGGAGTGTTTAGATCCTTTGCATTCCGTGTGATCACTAACAGAGTTGGGTTTAAATCTATCATCTTGCTATTTGTTTTGTCCCTTCCTTTTTCCTATTTTTCTTCCTTCTTTTGGGATTGAATATGTTCATGATTTCACTGTTATCTTTGTCGTCAGCTTATTAGCTACAATTCGTTTTGTTCTCGTTTTAGTGATTGCTTTGGGATTTGTAGTATATTTCTTTAACTTACCATAGTCCCCATTCGAGTACTAGTAAGCCACTCCATATTCAGCAGAACCTTATGGTAATGTACCTTCATTTTCCCCTCTAGAACTTTATGTTATTCTTGTTATACCTTTGACATTTATGCATTTTATAAACCACAGTTATCAGGCCAAGAAGTGACACTGACAGAGACGAGCATGGAGAGCTTGGTTTTAGGAGCCCCAACACAGAGAGCAATACAAGGACAAGCCTATATCTTGAGTGATTTTGAGTCTAGGTTCATCAGCAAAATGTTAAATTAGTGACATTTAAGGGTAAATTTGGCAGCGCTATTCATCACGGAATAACCAAGCAGCCAGGTGGCTCCATGAGGCATAGGCACCGTGAGTCCTAGCAAACCAGACAGCCTCTTTGTAGTGGGTCTTCCAAATCCTTCCCTCACTTTGCCATGCACCAGATTATACACTAAAGGAGCCCATGGAATTTTAGCCATTTCATTGATTGGAATGGTCGGAACAATATCTTCCAAGTACTGCCAGAATCTGGACAGGTTATTAAAGAAAACACTGTTCAGTAACAACATATAGCCCTCAGAAGCTTTGCAGTTTCATTTTTGCCGGTCTCTTTTCTTTTATTCATTTTCTCCTTCTGTTTTACAATTTGACATCTTTTTCTTCAACCCTGTACTCCCTTCACACATATATCCAAATGTCTGTACCACATTATTACAAATTATATGGTAAAGTGACCAGAGGATGACTTTTTAGAGCACATCACCAGGAAGTCTGTGGTCTACAAGTGATGCTGGCCCATTTCCCAGAACCTTGTTATATTACAAGAATGAGCTTGTTGGTTGTAAATTTACCTGTGTACAACAATGCTATCTCTCTGCCTCAGCCAACATCATTTCCTGCCTCATTTTCTCCACCTTTTGACTTGTCCATCACAAATAATTGTGGTCACTTCACAAGATAGAAAGGTTAGAATGCAGGGGCAATATCTGCTATTCTAGACATTGGATGGTGCTCAGAATGAACTGAAGGTAGACATTGGGAAAAGAAGGAATAACCAGGAAGATCTCAGGATCCCAAACTGTGCTTAGCAGGATCTTCCTTGGGCACCTCTTCAAAGTGGTGTTGGACCAAGGGTGAAGGAGACTTAGAGAATATTCCTCTAAGCCTCCAACCTGGAGGGGAGACTACCCAGTTAAGAGTAGCCACAGCTCTGTCTTGAGCTGGGTATAATGCCTAGTGCAAGTGTTCTGCCTGACTTTGCCTTTTATAATCCTGACAATGGAGTTTTAAAATCCTACACTACTTATTAAAAGCTTAGCAGATTCCTTCTAAAAACTATTAATTTTTTTGAACCAACTACAACTTGAACTTTGCATTAGAATTCCTTGATTTCCAAGTTGTGAATGACCACAACTGGTTCTGTGTAAATATAAATATGTAAAAGTTATTTCACATTTTCTCTTATTATATTTAATTCTATTTAGTAAGAGATCAGAGATTTCATAGTCTCATTCCAATTTTAGTATATGTGCTACTGAAGTGAGAATGAGATTTCATAGTCAAAGTAGCAAATTGGCCATAAGCTAAGCATTCTGTAAAATAGGCTAACGTATATTATAGACCAAAGACATCCTCACTTCCTGCAAACCTTGTTAAAGTAAGAATAATGAAGTTTAAAAGGTTATAAAGTCACAATGTTATAGAGAACTTGGGAGCGTGAGCATTAGTGATAAGAGATTTAACCCTAATTCTGTAAGGCAGAGAGAGAAGAGGGTGTGGTGGGGCAGTACATTAAAAATGAGCATAAGCCCAGACAGGCTGGAGCTGAGGTGGCCAGAGAAGTTGGCTGGAGTGTCCTGGGAAAGTTCAGGCTCAGAAACGCCAGCTGCAGTGGAGCTATAGGGCTGAAAATGGGGATTGGTTGATGATCTGAACATGAAATAGTGGAACTCACAACACCCTTCCCTCCCACCTAGAGCCCCACACTTCAGAGTATTTCACTCCAGGTACATCATTAGAAGATCCTTCTCTAAAGTTTAGAATGTCCCAGAGAAAATCCTCTGCATTCTGACGTTTACAGTTCCCTCATCATAATGGCTTGCACCTGCTCTATCACACAAACAGATGGAAAAACATTCCATGCCCATGGTTAGGAAAAACCAATATCGTGAAAATGGCCATACTGCCCAAAGTAATTTATAGATTTAATGCTATCCCCATCAAGCTACCAATGACCTTCTTTGCAGAACTGGAAAAAAAACACCTTAAACTTCACATGGAAACAAAAGAGAGCCCGCATAGACAAGTCAATTCTAAGCAAAAAGAACAGAGCTGGAGGCATCACACTACCTGACTTTAAACTATACTACAAGGCTATGTAATCAAAACAGCATGGCACTGGTACCAAAACAGAGATATAGACCAATGGAACAGAGCGGAGGCCTCGGAGGCAATGCCACACATCTACAACCATCTCATCTTTGGCAACCCTGACAAAAACAAGCAATGGGGAAAGGATTCCCTGTTTGATAAATAGTGTTGGGAAAACTGGCTAGCCATGTGCGGAAAGCAGAAACTGTACCCCTTCCTGACACCTTACACTAAAATTAACTCCAGATGGATTAAAGACTTAAACATAAGACCTAACACCATAAAAATCCTGGAAGAAAATCTAGGCAAAACCATTCAGGATGTAAGCATAGGCAAGGACTTCATGACTAAAACACCAAAAGCAGTGGCAACAAAAGCCAAAACAGACAAATGGGACGTAATCAAACTCCACAGCTTCTGCACACAAAAGAAACAGTCATTAGGGTGAATTGGCAACCAACAGAATGGGAAAAAATTTTTGCAATCTAGCCATGCATCGACAAAGGGCTGATATCCAGAATCTACAAAGAACTAAAACAGATTTACAAGAAAAAAACAAACAAGCCCATTCAAAAGTGGGTGAAGGATGTGAACATACACTTTTCAAAAGAAGACATACATGAGGCCAACAAACATGAAAAAATTCTCATCATCACTGGTCATTAGAGAAATGCAAATCAAAACTACATTGAGATACTATCTCACACCAGTTAGAATGGCAATCATTAAAAAATCTGGAGACAGTGGATGCTGGAGAGGATGTGGAGAAATAGGAACACTTCTACACTGTTGGTGGGAGTGTAAATTAGTTCAACCATGGTGGAAGACAGTATGGAGATTCTTCAAGGACCTAGAAATAGAAATTCCATTTGACCCAGCAATCCCATTACTGGGTATATATCCAAAGGATTATAAATCTTTCCATTGTAAGGACACATGCACATGAATGTTTATTGCAGCACTGTTTACAATAGCAAAGACTTGGAACCAACTCAAATGCCCATTGATGATAGACTGGATAGGGAAAATGTGGCACATATATGCCATGGAATACTATGCAGCCATAAAAAATGATGAGTTCGTGTCCTTTGTAGGGGCATAGATGAACCTGGAAACCATCATTCTCAGCAAACTGACACAAGAACAGAAAAGCAAACACCATATGTTCTCACTCATAGGCGGGTGTTGAACAATGAGAACACATAGACACAGGGAGGGGAGCATCACACACTGGGGTCTGTGGCAGGGGAACTAGGGGAGGGACAGCAGGTGGTGGGGAGTTGGGGAGGGATAACATGGGGAGAAATGCCGGATATAGGTGATGGCGAGGAAGGCAGCAAACCACACTGCCATGCATGTACCTATGCAACAATCTTGCATGCTCTTCACATGTACCCCAGAACCTAAAATGCAGTAAAACATATATTTAAAAAAATAAACAAAAAGGAGGGAGATGAGGGGGTTCAGGGTGGTGGCAAAAATATTAAAGGAAAAACATTAGATCTAGCTTTAGGGAATAGTCACAAATCTTTTTGAAAGGCCAAAGGTTTACATAGCGTGTAGTGACTGAATGGGTGGAAGGTGACTGGCTTTTAGTTTAGGGCATTAGGACAGTAAATACTACAAACTGTAAAAGAAGCTTCTCCAGATAAGTCTGTTTACCTCCACCTCCATTAGCAAAACCTTTGATCATCCCTACGTGCTTAACTGCCTTTTACTTAGGGGGTTGGCAGAAGTTAATTGCCCACTAATGGTGTTGATCCAAAGACCCTTGTTCTTTGATATACTAAATAAAAGCCTGGAGTAGGGGCTGCTCAAGCCAGCTGCCATTAACTCCTTTGAGTGAATGGCCCAGACAGCCCAGCTCACTCTTTCACTGTATTCTGTGTTTGAATGTACATTATTTATCCGTCACTTAGGCAGCGTCTGCAGGACAGACCCCTACAAACTTTGATGCAAAAATCTGAACAAAATATTGGTAGGCTGAATCCAGCAGCACATCAAAAAGTGAGTCCACCGTGGTCAATTAGGCTTTATTCCTGGGAAACAAGTTCAACATACACAAATCAATAAATGTGATTCATCACATAAAGAGAGCTAAAGACAAAAAACAACATGACTATTAGACACAGAAAATGCTGTTGATAAAATGCAATATTCCTTCTTGTTTAAAAACTCTCAATAAACTAGATATTGAAGGAACATGCATCCAAATAGTAAGAGCCATCTATGACAAACCCACAGCTAACATTGCTGAATTGGCAAAAGTTAGAAGCATTCCCCTTAAAAACAAGCATAAGACAAGGATGTACTCTCTCACTACTTCTATTCAACATAGAATGAAGTCCTAGCCAGAGCAATCAGATAAGAGATAGAAATGAAAAACACCTAAATAGGAAGAGAGGAAGTCAAACTATCTCTGTTTGCAGACAACATGATTCTATGCCTAGAAAACCCCATAGTCTTGGCCCAAAATCTCTTTGAGCTGATAAACAACTTCAGAAAAGTTGCAGGATACAAAATCAATGTACAAAAGTCACTAGCATTCTTATACACCAACAAGAGCCAAACCGAGAGGCAAATCAGGAAGACAATCTCATTCACAATTGCTACAAAAAGAATAAACTACCTAGAAATACTGCTACCCAGGGAGGTAAAAGATCTCTACAATGAGAATTACAAAACACTATTAAAAGAAATTAGAAAAATACACAACCACATGGAAAAACATTCCATGCTCATGAAGGCAAAGAATTAATATTGTTTAAATGGCCATAATGCCCAAATCAATTTACAGATTAAATGCTATTGCTATCAGACTACCAAAACATTCTCCACAGAACTAAGGAAAAGCGATTTTAAAATTCATATCGAACCAAAAAAGAGCCTGAATAGCAAAAGTAATCCTAAACGAGAACAAATCTGAAAGCATCACATTATCCACTTCAAACTATACTACAGGAGTACAATAACCAAAACAGCATAGTAGTGGTCTAAAAACAAGTATGTAGACCAATGGAACAGATTAGAGAGCCAGAAATAAGGCCACACATCTATGACCAGTGTTACCTCATGTTGTGGACTCTGCTCCCCACACTCTGTTACCATTTTGCTCAGCTCCCCTAGGTGCAGCTCTGGCAGGCTCCGGTGTGGTGTGTGCTGAACCCAGCAAAGCTGTGGGGGCAGGCAAAGTTTTGGAGGCTGGACTACCACCAAAAAGAGTCCAAAAGGCAGGACTTCCATATCAGTGGGCCTTGACAGCATCAAGCCAAAAAAGATTATTCTTGAGCCATAGGTTGTTGGATTTGCTTGGTAACTGTCACTCCTTTCTTCATTCCTATTTTTCCCTTTCAGAATGAGAATGTCTGTCCTGTGCCTCTCCCACCATACTGTGTTCGATGCTCATAATATGCTTGATTTCACAGATTCACAACCGGAAAGCAATTTGCCTCAGAATAAATTGTACTTTAAGTCTCACTCATTACTGATTTAGATGATAATTAGATGAGACGTCGACGTTACATTTTAAAATTGATGCTGGAACAAGACTTTTGGGGCTACTGGGATGAAAGTAATGTATTTTGCACGTGATAAGGGCATAGATTTTGGGGAACCAGAAATAGAATGCTATGGTCTAAATGATCATGTCCCTCCAAAACTCATATGTTGAAATCCTCACCCTGAATGTGATGGTATAAGGAGAAAGGCCCTAGGGAGGTGATTAGGTCATGGGGGCAGAGGCCTATGAATGAAATTCATGCCATCATTAAAGAGGCCCAACAGAGACCCCTGAGTATATATTCCACTAAACACACATTCTACTGAATATATGTATGTGTGTGTATATACATATATATATATGATATATATACATATATATGTGATAAAGATATATTTCATTTCCTTTAGGTATTAGTCCATTTGGGCTGCTATAAAAATACCATAAACTAGATGGCTTATAAATATATATTCCACTAAAATATATCTTTATCCATTGAGAGTAATGCTGCAATGAGCATTATTATAGAAATATCTGCACTCCCATGCTCACTACACATTATTCACAATAGCCGAGATAGGAAAAAACCCAAGTGTGTCCATGGACAGATGAGTGGATAAAGAAAATGTGGTGCACTATTAACATTTTACTAATAATGGAACATTATTCAACCTTGAAAAAGAAATAAATCTTGTCTTTTGCAACAGTATGAACAATGAACCCAGAGGACATTATGGTAAGTAAAGTAAACTTAGCACAGAAAGACAGGTATTGCATGATCTCACTTACATGTGGAATTTTATAAAGTAAAACTCACAGAAGCAAAGAATAGAATGTTGGTTGCCAGGGACTGGGGGTTGGGGGAAATGGAGAATTGTTGGTACAAAACTTTAGTTAACGCAGGATAAATCAGCTCTGGAGATCTAACATACAGCATGATGACTATACTTAATAGTATTGTATTGCATTTTTGAAATTTGCTAAGAGATTAGACCTCAAATGTTCTCACCACACCAAAGAAAATAGTAACCGAGACGTGCTAGATGTGTTAATCACCTTGATTTAATTCTTTCACAATGTACATATACATATATTAAAACATCATATTATACACCCTAAACATACTCAATTTTTATTTGTCAATAAAACCTTAATAAAGCTAAGGAGAGGGAGGTATTTTTGTAACTATATTTGGAAAATACGATTCATCACATTAGCGAATCATAGTAAATTAAGAAGAAAGAATAACATTTATATTAATGCCAAAAGGTATGCCATATTTTTGAAAGCATCTTGCAAATCTTATTTAAAACATCTGTAAATACATTTTTCTCAGCTTCTTCCCTTATATTTTTAATTCTTTCATCGTATTTCATTTTTAGCGATTTTATTTTTTCCTCCTTTTCTTCCTTTGATTTATGCTCATATTCCTTTTCTACTAGTTTAATTTCCTCGTTTAATTGGTCAGTGTAGATTTTCCTCAAAACCTCTTCCCGTTGTTTCAGCCTTTCCTCTGTGTCCTTGTATATGGCGTCAGAAAAGTAAGCCCCTTTGTTGCACTGCACCATTTCCTCTACCAGCTCCACCAGCTCCCTCACCTGAGCTTCCTTCTCTGCCTCACTTGTTTGGCTGCTGTTGCTAAAGGCACAGCAGCGGTTCCCGCACTCATTTAAAATGCTTTTTAGGTTCACATCCGCATCTCCTATGAAGCCATCCAGACTCTGGCCCTCCAGCTCTTCTTTGCGAGTGAACAAGATGACCATGTGCTTCATGGCTAGCTTCCCAAAGACAGCCTTAATCAATGCAACGGTTTTCTGCTCTTCCTCAGTGTAGCGACCTAGCTGCAGAACCAGGACAATAGCATGGGGCCCTGGGCAGGAGGCGAGGACGCAGCGGCTGATTTCCCTGCAAGTGTGGTTCAGGGTCTCCTTGGTGTCAAAGAGCCCTGGAGTGTCAACAACAAGAAGGTTTCTCCCCTGCCAGGTCCGGGATGCTTTTTGACAGGTCTTGGTAACAGCTTGGGCAGCAATTTTAGACTCAAAAATTTTCTTTCCAAGGATGGTGTTGGCTGTCCCACTTTTCCCACTTCCAGTTTTCCCTACCAGAACGATCCTCAGAGAGCGGTCCTCACTCTCAGCCATGCTCACGTCAAGAGGCTCTGTAGCTTAGGCACGTACAAGACCTTAAGAAGAGGAAGAGAGAAGAAAAAAGCCAATTTTGGTAAGTGGGACCCATTCCCAACCTTCCTTTCTGCTTTCTCTTTCTTCCTGAAAATTTGTAATATTCTATTACCCATATTGAGCCCAGTAAGGAGAGAAAGATGAAATAGTCCAATTATTATGGAAGAAATAATAGAGAAAGCAGTTAAAGAGTTTCCCCTCAAAGTAGTACCAGGTACAGATGATTTCGCAGGGAAATTCTATTAAAACGTTTAAGATCTGATTATCTCAAAGCTACCTAAAACTGTTCCTGACCATATAAAAAGAAGGAAAAAGTTAATTTTTTTCTATGAAGCAAGTACAATATTAATTCCTAAGGCTGACAAATATTTCATCAACAAACTACATATGTGTCTCATTTGTGAATATTAATATAAAAATCCTAAATAATTAGACACTAATAAATAATAGACTATGATTAAGTGTGATTTATTTCAGAAAAACTATGGTGGGTCAATATGAGAATACTGATTGTTACAACACATCCTGTTAATAGGCTAAGAAGAACATTAGCTAGATGCAGGAAAGATATTTGGCCAAATTTAACACTGATTCATGTTTAAAGTAGTTTATAGAATAGAAACTATATACATATATATATGTATAATTTCTTTAACATTATTTTATATAAATATGAATTTTTAAATTTTGTCATCTTTTCTGTAGCTAAAATAGTTGATTATAAAGTTCATTTGGATGAAGGACAATGCAAGTTAGCCTAGACAATCAAGGAAAAGAAGAACAAGGGAAGACTGCTCTACTAGACAATTAAAACTTGTAGTCTCCCTAATTAAAGCAGTGTGATATTGGTGAGTGAATAGAGACATGCCATGAAACAGAAAAAGAGAATTCGCAAATTGACCATTGCTCATTTTATATTCATTGATATTCAATTCATTTACATTAACTTACATTCTGTGAAGCAACTCCTCATACCAATGAGAAAGATGATGGACATTTTTATAAGCAACACTGAGATAACTATACCACCATATAATTGGATGCAATTCTAATGATAAAGTTGCATTCGATTCCTCATATTGTACAAATTCCAAATAGATCAGAAATTTAAATGTAAAAACTATCCAATATAAATAATTTAAAATGGGTAAATTCTTTGTAATCTGGGAGTGGGAAAGATATTTATAACTATGATATAAAATAGTATAAGGAAGAAACTGATAAGTTTGATTACATAAAAGTCTAAAAACTTATTTAAGGCATAAACACCATAGACAAATTAAAATATAAATATAAAACTAGAAAACATTCTTTCCAATTTATCTCAAAGAAGGCTACTTTCCCTATTATATGAAGAATATCTAAAAGTAGAGAAGCAAAAGACCAGTGACTTGATAGAAAATTGGTTGAGATATGAACACATGGTCAAAGAAAAAAAAGAAATGCAAATGTTTCTTGAATACATAAAAAGGTATCCAAGTCCATTCACAGTAGAGAAAAATAAATTAAATACATAGAATAACTTAAAAATTACTCAGAGGTAACTATTTCTCAACTATAGGTATGGCAAAAGTCCACACATTTGCCAGCATAATATGGTGGTAAAGGTATGGGGAAACAGGAAATTTCCTGCATGACAAGTGTGAAGGAAACAATCTAACACCTCTAGAGGAGAAGGTAGCAATACCTTGAAAAATTACACGTGCATTTACTCTTTGATTATCTATCCCAATTTTAGGATTTATCCCAGAGCTGTGATAACAAAAATGCAGAAGGAAAAATGCATGTGGCTATTCATGCAGTACTGTTAGTAACAGCAGAAGACCACAGCCCTATCAGATGCCCGTCAGTGGGCACCAGTTGAATAAACTAAGGTATATTCATACAGAAAAGTACCACCCGACTGCAAAAAGGAATGAGAAATATATCTATATACCAGTATGAAGAGATGAGGTATACTGTTAAGTGAAAAAAGCAAAGTGAAGAAAATAATGTACAATTTGCTACCATTTATATAACAAGGAGGAATATTAGTTATATATGTGAATAATTTTTATGTGAAGGTGAAAAAAGCAATGGTAGGACCACTTGAAAACTAAACAAACAAAAGAGTTATTTATATGAAGATGGGAGGAACAAGGTGCAAGGGACAGGAACAGAAAATGGGCATTAGACTTCTGTGATTATCCTTCATTTTTGCAAATTTGATCTTGAGACCATGTAAATAGTTTACATAATTATACAACAAAAATCATCTTTTAAAACACCAGTAAAAATTAAAAGCAAATGAAACAAATAAACTTAATTGATTTTGTGTCAAGGATGAACCAAAAAGAATTGTCCCAAGAGGCTTGAAAATGCAGTATTAATAATTTCACTCTGTGTATGTGTGTGTGTGTGTGTGTGTGTGTGTGTGTACTGTTTTGAAGTCCATCTAAAAGGTATAAATCATGGTCAGCCCAGTAGCAATGTGTGCACTTAATACCTAGATTGTGAACTTCAAATGGCATTTTCCACAAAGAAATTTGGACTCTAAGAAAAAGTACTGGCCGGGCGCGGTGGCTCAAGCCTGTAATCCCAGCACTTTGGGAGGCCGAGGCGGGTGGATCATGAGGTCAAGAGATCGAGACCATCCTGGTCAACATGGTGAAACCCCGTCTCTACTAAAAATACAAAAAAATTAGCTGGGCATGGTGGCACGTGCCTGTAATCCCAGCTACTCAGGAGGCTGAGGCGGGAGAATTGCTTGAACCCAGGAGGCGGAGGCTGCGGTGAGCCAAGATCGCGCCATTGCACTCCAGCCTGGGTAACAAGAGCGAAACTCCGTCTCCAAAAAAAAAAGAAAAAGAAAAAGAAAAAGAAAAAGTACTGATTCCAGGTGTGGTCCAGTAAACATACAAGTTTATCCTACAACATCTTTCATACTAGAAAGCAGGGATGCTACAAGAATTATTTAGTTTTATCAGAAGGAATTGGAAACCACCTTAAAGGGGTTCCAACCAGACAAAGATGGAACAATTTGAGCATCATTAACAAAGATTGTTCCAGTGGATTAAAATATGTCCAAATCCAGTAGTTTATAGCAACACCATCTTCCTGAAAGAAGTTAATTACTCCCTTTGGAGTATGACTCATTCCGAACATTGACAACTAAAGAGAAAGAAGCATTTATTTTGTCTTTCATACATCTCATCTTTTAACTATATTTCACAAAAATGAAAGAATCACTGAATGAAAGTTCCTTTGTATAGGACTACTCCATCTAAAAAATGAAGAAAGAGTGATAAAATATCATCTTTTTGTAACTCTCAATGAAACGAATTGATTCTAGGCAACCATTAACATCTGCTAACATGACAAAAAGACAGACACTCAAACATTTTGTGCCTTCTAATGAAAGTTTAGGATAGCATCTATTATAAACTACTGGATTTTGACATACTCCCCCTTAAAAAAGCAAAGCCAAATTTTAATCTGATCCACCCTCCCCATTAATATAAATTCACACAAAACACTGGAAGCGCATGTTAAATGACATTGTTAGGATGCAATCAGCAGAATGAATACTGTTGGACAAAAGACCTTCCCTTCTTTAAACAAAGACATTTAACACAAGAAACGAGGAAGGTGAAAACCTACACATTAAGTGAAATGTAAGAGGTGTCAAATAATTGTAACATATGGATTTTGTTTAGATCCTACTTCAAATTATTTTAAACATTTTGAGATCTTCAGGGAAATCTGAATACAGCTGGTAGTATTAAAAATTATAGTTGCTTTTTGAAGTCTGTTTGTGAAACTGTGGATATGTTTTTAAATGGTCTTTATCTTTCAGAGACACATATTCAAATATTTACTGATAAAATGATGTAAATGTCTGACATTTGCTTCAAAATAATCTGTGATAGAGTTGAAAACAGGAGCAAATAGTTGAACAAGACCGGCATAAGTTGATAACTGTGGAATTTCAGCATAGGTACATGGAAGTTCTTTAATTATTTTTACCATTGAATTAGTATAAATTTTCCACAAATAAAAAAATTAACCCTTGTATAGTGTAAGCATTATCAAGTATACACTGCATATCAGAGCACCCTGATAAGCATGTTTTGTATATCTTGTTTACTCTTCAAAATACTCTACAGAGATGATCCACAGTTTCTGCAGAAAGGTGAGCTGGGAGCCAGCCTGTGATAAGGGAACCATGAGGAGGGCTTCACATTTCTTGTGGACTTTTCCCTCTCTCCCATCTTGAAAAGCCAAACGTGACAGAGATGGTCAGAAAAATCACTTTAAAACTTTCTGATACAGGCAGCAAACCACCTTACCACATGTGTATCTATGCAACAATCCTGTATGATCTGCACATGTACCCCAGAACCTAAAGTACAGTTTAAAAAAAATAATAAAACTTTCTGAAGTGGTTCTGGGAAGATCCAGAGGATCTCCAGCTAAGAGAAAGGCTGAGAAGTGAAAAAGCATTTACAACAGAGGTGGACAGTTCTGAACTGTGGCTAGACCCACCAGTTCTAGAAAATTTTGTAAGCTCCTTGAGATTTAGTTCCCTCTGCTATAGAAAGGGAAAGTAAAACCAATCTTGCAGGGTTGTCCTTAGGCTTTCATAGAGAGATTTCTATAAAGGTCTTTTCTAGCAACTCTTTTCGTATTGAAAGGCACAGCAACTCCACATGTTACACTGTTAGGGACACAGCTTGACTCTGTTCCATGCTGGAAAAAGTCAGCAGACTGAATCCTAGTGTTCCTTTGCCATGAGTGAGCTGGGTGCCCCTTGGAGAATCACCAAAATCTCTGGAATTGGGATTCTGATCCTTTTTCAGTAAGAAGGCTCCTGTGGAACCTCCAGAAGGTACCCTGCTAATTAGCTTGATTTTATTCCTGTAACACTCATTTTAGACTTCTGACTTCCAGAACTGCAAAAGGAAAATTTTATGTTGTTTTAGGCCACTACATTTTTTGTCATTTGTCATGGTAGCAATCGAAAGTGGATACTCCAAGGTTACGTAGTTAATCTGTGTAAGAGCTAGGACAGTACTATGCCTTTCATCTCCTGTTATTATTTCTGCGATATCTTCATACGTTAACTTTGGCATTTATCTAGCATCATGGCAGCAGAAAAAAAAGCCCTGAGTTTTGTGTGCACACATACATACACATACACACAAAATCAAAAACATAATATTCCTTTTTTATAGGAATGGACAGGTCTCTAAATTGCCTGTCACCTCTAAAAATCTGCTTTCAGAGCCCTTAATTTCCTATGAAGGTTATCAGGCAACACTCTGTGTCTGCCACAATAGCAGTGAGTGGAGGTTCACTATGCAGTCATGCGTGTCCTCTTACATATGAGATTCATGGACACTGTGCAAACCAATCTCCTCACTCCCCTTCCCACCCACCCCTCCCATGGCATGTTCCACGCAGTGCTGCTGGCACAGTGCCCTGTTCCTCCTCAGGGCGGAATCCACTCCACTAGACACCCTGTCCTCACTGCCCTATGCAGCCCAACAGCACCAGTCCCTCTTCTCAGCCAGGCTCACCTTCTCTTGAGTAAGTTGAGTTCTCTGATTTTCTCCAAGGAGGCTGCTTGAGTTGTTGCTTTTGCTTTTACTGTGAGGCAAAGGTATCTACACCCCCACCAAAACCTCTGAGTCAGGAAACTCAGACTGGGCGGAGCCACACAAAAAAATACCGTTTGTCTTTAAAGAAACAGAAATAGAAGTGCCGAGAGACCTGGGGAAGATGGCCGGCTAGGAACAGCTCAGGATCGCAGCTCCCAGTGAAAGCTCAGAGGGCGACTGGAACACCTGGGAGAGAGTCGACCGTTCAACTAAATAAAAACAAAAAAAAAACAACTCTGAGTCAGGGAGCCAGGGGATCAGGCTCAGCTGGTCCCAGCGCCCCCCAACCCAAAAAAAAAAAAAAAAAACAGTAATTGAAAACACTCTGGGTTGAGAGTTTCACAGCAAGCACAGCGGAACCCAGGATGGTCCAGCTCTGTGGGGGAGGGGGATCCGCCATTGCTGAGACACTCCACCACTATGGAGGCAGTTCACCATTGCTGAGGCAGCCCACCATTGCCAAGGCAACCTGCCACTACAGAGAGAGTCCACCATTACAGAGGCAGGCCACCATTGCCTAGACAGTTCTAACTACACCCATATAAACAGGACTGCAGGGAAGATCACATGGCAGCTGGGCGTAGCCCACAGCAGCTCAGCAAAGCCTCTGCAGGCAGACAGTAATTAGACTGCTTCCTCACTGGGCAAGGCAGCCCGGGGGGGGGGGGGGGGGGGGGGGGGGGGGGAAGGCAGCAGCACAATGGAAACTCATAAAGCCCTAACTCCCTGGGGCACCTGGGGGAAAAAAAGGGGAGTTCTGCTGCAGCAGACCTAAACTTACCTGCCCAGCAACTCTGAATGAACAATGGAGCTCACAGCTCAACACTTGAGCTCCAATAAAGGACAAACTGACTCCTCAAGCAGCTCCCTGACCCCTGTATATACAAAGAGTCACCTCATAAAGGAGAGAACAGACTGACATTTGGCAGGTATCCTTCTGGGACAAAAATAGCAGAAGAAGAAACTGGTAGCAACCCTTACTGTTCTGCAGCTGCTACAGGTGATCCCCAGGCAAGCAGGGCCTGGAGTGGACCTCAGCAGTCCTACAGCAGAAGGGCCAGACTGTTAGAAGGAAAACTAAGAAACAGAAATAACTTCATCATCCACAAACTGGAAGTTCACTCAGAGATTCAATCTGAAAGTCAGCAACTACAAAGACAACAGGTGGATAAACCCACAAAGATGGGAAGAAACCAGTGCAAAAAGGATGAAAATACCTGAAACCAGAACACCTCTCCTCCTACAAGGGATCACAACTCCTCACCAGCAAGGGAACAAGGCTGGATGGAGAATGAGTGTGATGAAAAGACAGAATCAGACTTCAGAAGGTGTGTAATAAGAAACTTCTCTGAGTTAAAAGAACACGTTCTAACCCAATGCAAAGAAACTAAGAACCTTGAAAAAAGATTTTAAAAAATGCTAACGAGAATAGACAACTTAGAGAGGAATATAAGTGAATTGATGGAGCTGAAAAACACAATACGAGAACTTTGCGAAGCATGCACAAGTTTCAACAGCCAAATTGACCACGCAGAAGAAATGATATCAGAGGTCGAAGATCAACTCAATGAAATAAAACGAGAAGGCAAGATTAGAGAAAAAAGGATAAAAAAGAATGAACAAAGTCTCCAAGAAATGTGGGACTATGTGAAAAGACCTAATCTACGTTTGATAGGTGTGCCTGAATGTGATGCAGAGAATGAATCCAAGCTGGAAAATACACTTCAGGATATTGCCCAGGAAAACTTCCCCAACCTAGCAAGGTAGGCCAATACTCAAGTCCAGGAAATACAGAGAACACCACAAAGATATTCATCAAGAAGAGCAACCCCAAGGCACATAATCATCAGATTCACTAGGGTTGAAATGAAGAAGAAAATGCTAAGGGCGGCCAGAGAGAAAGGTCGGGTTACCCACAAAGGGAATCCCATTAGACTCACAGCAGATCTCTCAGCAGAAACCCTACAAGCCAGAAGAGAGTAGGGGCCTGACTGTTAGGAGGAAAACTAAAAAACAGAAAGAAATAGCTTCAACATCAACAAAAAGGGTGTCCACTCAGAGACCCCATCCAAAAGTCACCAAATACAAAGACCACAGGTAGATAAATCCATGAAGATGGGAAGAAACCAGCACAAAAAGGATGAAAACACCCCAAACCAGAAGGCCTCTCCTCCCCGAAGGAATCACAACTCCTCACCAGCAAGGAAACAAAGCTGGACAGAGAATGGGTTTGATGAATTGACAGAAGCAGGCTTCAGAAGGTGGATAATAACAAACTTTCCTGAGCTAAAGGAACATGTTCTAACCCAATGCAAAGAAATGAAGAACCTGGAAAAAAAGATTGGACAAAATGCTAACTAGAATAACCAGCTTAGAGAAGTACATAAACAACTTGATGGGGCTGAAAAACACAACATAAGAACTTCGCAAACCATACACAAGTTTCAATAGCTGAATTGACCAAGCAGAAGAAAGGATATCAGAGATTGAAGATAAACTCAATGAAATAAAATAAGAAAGCAAGATTAGAGAAAAAAGAGTGAAAAGAAATGAACAAAGCCTCCAAGAAACATGGGATTATGTGAAAAGACCTAATCTACATCTGATAGGTATACCTGAATGTGATGGGGAAAACAAATTCAAGCTGGAAAACACTGCTCAGGATATTACCCAGGAGAACTTCCCCAGACTAGCAAGGCAGGCCAACATTGAAGTCCAGGAAATACAGAGAACACCACAAAGATATTCATCAAGAAGAGCAACCACAAGGCACATAATCGTCAGATTAACCAGGGTAGAAATGAAGGAAAAAATGCTAAGGGCAGCCAGAGAGAAAGGTCAGGTTACACACAAAGGGAAGCCCATCAGACTCACAGCAGATCTCTCAGCAGAAACCCTACAAGCCAGAAGAGAGTGGGGACCAATATTCAACATCCTTAAAGAAAAGAACTTTCAACCAAGAATTTCACATCCAGCCAAACTAAGCTTCATAAGTGGTCTTTTAGACCACAGTGCAATCAAATTAGAACTCAGGATTAAGAAACTAACTCAGAACCACACAACTTCATAGAAACTGAACAACTTACTCCTAAAGGTCAACTGGCTAAACAATGAAATGAAGGCAGAAATAAAGATGCTCTTCAAAACCAGTAAGAATGAAGACACAACATACCAGAATCTCTGGGACACATTTAAAGCAGTGTCTAGAGGGAAATTTATGGCAATAAATGCCCACATGAGAAGCAAGGAAAGATCTAAAACCGACACCCTATCATCAAAATTGAAAGAGGTAGAGGAGCAAGATCAAAAAAACTCAAAACCTAGCAGAAGACAAGAAATAACTAAGATCAGAGCAGAACTGTAGGAGATAGAGACCAAAAAAAAAACCTTCAAAAAATCAGTAAATCCAGGAGCTGGGTTTTGAAAAGATCAACAAAATAGGCAGACCACTAGCCAGATTAATAAAAAAGAAAAGAGAGAATAATCTAATAGATGCAATAAAAAATGATAAAGGGGATATAATCACCGATTCCACAGAAATACAAACAACCATCAGAGAGTACTAAAAACAACACTATGCACATAAACCAATATGCCTGGAAGAAATGGATTAATTCCTGGACACTTGCACCCTCCCAAGACTAAACCAGGAAGAAGTTGAAACCCTGAATAGACAAATAACAAGGGCTGAAGTTGAGGCAGCAATTAATCCACCCAAAAAAAGTCCACGTCCAGATGGGTTCACAGCTGAATTCTACAAGACATATAAAGAGGAGCTGGTACCACTCATTCTGAAACTATTTGCCACAATCCAAAAAGAGGGAAACCTTCCCAAATCATTTTATGAGACCAACATCAACCTGATACCAAAACCTGGCAAAGACTCAATAAAAAAAGAAAACATCCATGATGAACATAGATGTAAAAATCTTCAATAAAATACTGGCAAACAACAGCACACCAAAAAGCTTATCCATCACAGTCAAGTAGGCTTCATCCTGGGATGCAAGGCTGGTTCAACATATGCAAGTCTATAAACATAATCCACCACATGAACAGAACCAAAGACAAAAACCACATGATTATCTCAATAGTTGCAGAGAAGGCCTTCAACAAGATTCAACAGCCCTTTATGCTAAAAACTCTCAATAAACTAGGCATTGATGGAACGTATCTCAAAATAATAAAAGCTATTTATGACAAACCCACAGCCAATAACATACTGAATGCGCAAAAACTGGAAGCATTCCCTTTGAAATCTGGCACTAGGCAAGGATGCCCTTTCTCACCACTCCTATTCAATATAGTATTGGAAGTTCTAGCCGGAGAAATCAGGCAAGTAAAAGAAATAAAGTGTATTCAATTAGGAAAGGAGAAAGTCAAAGTGTCTCTATTTGCAGACAACATGATTGTATATTTAGAAGACCCCATCGTCTCAGCCTTAAATCTCCTTAACTGATGAGCTCAACTTCAGCAGAGTCTCAGGATACAAAATCAATGTGCAGAAATCACAAGCATTCCTATATACCAATAACAGACTTAAAGAGAGCCAAATCAAGAGCCGACTCCCATTCGCAATTGCTACTAAGAGAATAAAATACCTAGGAATACAACTAACAAAGGATGTAAAGGACCTCTTCAAGGAGAACTACAAATCACTGTTCAACGAAATAAGAGAGGACACAAACAGATGGAAAAACATTCCATGCTAATGCTTAGGAAGAATCAATTTTGTGAAAATTGCCATACTGTCCCAATGCTATCCCCATCAAGCCACTAATGACCTTCTTCACAGAACTGGAAAAAAAACACGTTAAACTTCATATGGAACCAAAAGAGAGCCCACATAGCCAAGACAATCCTAAGCAAAAAGAACAAAGCTGGAGGCATCACGCAACCTGACTTCAAACTATACTACAAGGCTGCAGTAATCAAAACAGCATGGTACTGGTACCAAAACAGAGACATAAACCAATGGAACAGAACAGAGATCAGAAGCAATGCCACTCATGCACAACTATCTGATCTCTGACAAACCTGACAAAAACAAGCAATGGGGAAAGGAGTCCCTGTTTCATAAATGGTGTTGGGAAAACTGGCTAGCTATGTGCAGAAAGCAGAAACTGGACCCCTTCCTGACACCTTACACTAAAATTAACTCCAGATGGATTAAA